TGCGAGTATCGATCTCTCGCGCTGCAGCAGGTGTCACACGGCACCAGCTGTCGTGCTTCGCACTGCAAAGGCGGCAACCACGGCGACGATGAGGACGGCGACGACGAGGAGAAAGAGAGAGAGAGAATGAGAGGGGTTCTCCGCGCACGGGGGAAACGAAGCGGGGATGAAAACACACCCTCAGGAGTACGAATCGCGCGCACGCGCGCGCATCACGCTATCTGGGTCACGCGGCGCGCGGGCGCGACGCGCGATTTATTCGACTCCGGCTCTCGAGAGTACGGTTCGCCGACGACTTGGGTCGTCGACGATGATCCGGGTGCACGAGTACTTCAGTAGCCTGGACGCCGGTCATGTAATTTCGAGCAGAACTTTTCATTTTTCGCTCATTCTGATTCCGTATCGACTTTTTTTTTGCACTAATCATTTTTTAACGAATACAGGTCGATTAATCCGGGAATGATCACCTGAAATATTTTTATACATATCAGCTGCGAAAAAATGTGAATTGTTGTAAAATATTGTTTTCTATCCATTATAGAAATTTAATATTGGAAGATAGTGATTAATTACTTATTAAAAGTACTGTTCAGTATTTTTAATACTCAAAATAAATAATTTCCAGTATTAAATTGGATTTCTGTAAAGGATGTTTAATATATTTTCCTGTATTAATAACTATTCTTTGCGAACTTTTAAATATGTAATTCCGTCAAAAATCCGCAATGAAAAAGCGTTATTTTCATTAAAATCTTTACTTTCTATACTGTTTTAATAAGTTATTTAACGTGCATATATTCCGTTTGTTTAGTTTCTAGTTACTTTTTAGAAAACTATAGTTAAATTCACATCCATGATATTCTCAAATACTAATAAATCGCGGAAAACAATTAATAATATACAACATGTTATTAAGAATACTGATTTTAATTGGAGTATAAAAACACTCCAGATAATTGTAAAAAAAGGTGACTACTCCCGGGTTAACGTGCCGATGACGCAATTGTCGCATCATGGCTTACCACTACAAGAAACCACTGACGCGACGTCATTAATGTATTATTATATGTTAAACTTTGTTATTTCATTGTCTTCTTTCATATTAGAACACCTTTGTTTGGCTATTAAGAGAAGTTAGGACAGTGCTCTTGTACCAGCGGTTTTTCGTTTTTACATTGCTAAAATACATTAAACTAAATTGTAACAAAATCTATTAATGACTTTTAATGATCTTGTCACTGAAAATGTTGTTGGTAATATATCAAATGTATCAAAGAGTTACATGAGCTGCGAAATGTTGAGTTTGAGTTTTTCATTTTTCACGTTTTTGTTTTTAGGAAAAAATTACATGATTACTATCCTGATCAGTTTTCCTAAATTCCTTTTTTCGAATGGATATAATGAGGAAAAGTTCATATAAAGGAGAGGATATTTTACAGAACTTTGGAGAAAGAAGATGGCAAGAAATCGTTTCTTATTCGCAAAAATTCAAACGAGTCGAGAAATTTTAAGGTTTTATTAGTGGTATTCGTAGTCTGATCTTATATTTAAGATTGTCTTAAGTATGATCTCGAAATATAATTGTAGGATGAATGAAATATTAAGATCATCTCTGATAGTGAGAGCAGACTTCGACCGATTTCCTAGCGAAAGTAAATTGGTCAATCATATTTGATTATTCTCCTCACAATGATTAGTCAATTTCTTATACGGCTTGCTCTATTATAGACACCGCGTGTAAGTCGAATGTAAGGGAAGAGATTAAGATGATGTTAAAATAAGAACAAACTATGAATACTCTAACAAAAATAAAAATTAGAATATAAGTCAAATGTAAAAGGGGAATAACAGAAACGTAAACGAAGCTTCTGGGAGACAATGAAATGTAAAAAAGAGCGTAAACGCCTCGTTTACATTTTATTTTGTCTCAATTTTCACTTCCTAGGAGCTTCGTTTACGTTTTTGTTACTCCTCCTTTACATTTGACTTACACTCCAATTTTTATTTTCACTGTATTCATAGTCCGTTCTTATTTTAAGATCATTTTAAATAACGTCTTAAGATGCTAATACGATTTTGTAATTGACTTACATCTCTTAAGATATCATAAATCACAGAACTGTATTAGCAACTTAAGATATTAAGACTATACTTAAGAGAGTCTTGAATATAAAAACTAACTATAAATATCAAAACTAACTATAAAACAATCTTAAATATAAGACCGGATTATAAACACTATCTTAAGCAAAATAGTTAAATTAGTAGCGCATATGGTGAAACATTTACTTTGCAATGTCGCTATAGTCTGCAATAAATGCACAACTATCTGACTACGTTTGAACGATGTGTATTATAAATTTATAAACGCAGGCATGATTTATGATTTTTGCCGATAACAAGCAATCTCAAATTTTGTAGTAGCATTCACGATACAAGGTACTTACTAGAATCTCCTCAATTCGCCAAAAAGAATTCCATATCGGATTCTCTTCTACTTTTCGAGAATGAACGGTACGTCTCAAACTGATCATCTTCAATATTGGAAGAATATTGGTGCAGACAATTGATTACAATAAGGCGTGAGACGTTCGATGGAAGCGTTATTGCGAAACGCATCCTTGGCCTAGAATGGCCTAGATTCTCAAGAGATCTCGAAGAGATATTGCGGGAGTCCGATCGCGCGTCGATCTTCTCCACTGTCCTCGACAACGATGTTCCACCGATCGACCGGATCGCCGATTTTGCGCTTTCTCTGTCTCCACCCTCGACTTTATTCCGCGCGCGAAAGCCACCACCTGCTGGCACGGTTACGTGCTACGACGTTTTTACCAAAGCAACGTTGGATACACGCTCGAGCATGCGCCTCTGGAAGTGGGTCATTAGGAGCTTGACCGAAATCTTCAGCCAGGATTTCGCTCTAGTTCCTTAAACTCGTCGATCGTTAATCGACGAGAAGCAGCGTGTGACTTGCGCGCTTTGCACAGTGTTGGAAGACAATCTTCGCGATCCTTTTCGTCAAAGAGGACGACTTAAAATTACTTTCGCATTTAAATAACGAAAGAAAAAAATCATTTGACAATTATTATGAAAAAAAATTTTAATATATTTTATACGAATTTTTATTAAAATAACATTTAAAGTTTCATACATATTTATAAGATAACATAAATATTCTTTTTTCAAATCTCTTCTATTATAATAAATAATTAATTAAATGATTTATACCATAAATTTTAATCCTTGCTGAATACATGTAGAATTATAAACATTTTAATATATAAATTTGCACGCATTTCAAAGTTTATTTTAAGCGCATACTTTTTGTCAAAATATTTTATCTAAACACTTTATAATGTAATAATAATAATGTGTACTGAGTGATTCTTAAGTATTCTAAAAGATTTTAATTAAAGGATAATTCCTCACATTAATTCAAGATGAAAGCTTTATATGACTGCATGTTCGAAATAGCTTATTATTATTTCTTTCAAAAATACAAAGTATCAAAATTGAAGGAAAAATTTTGTTTTATCACAAAATTTCAAAAACCACTCGTATTATTTTAATGAAATTTTCATGTTCTTGAAACATAAGTAAAGTTTCATCAAAATAACTCGAACGGTTTTCGAAATTTTTTGATAAAAATTTTATTTTTAACTTTGGCTGCGTTGCACGTATAATGTGCATGATGTATCATTTTATCATTCTTGTTCGTAGAGTATTACAAGGACAAAATGATACATCATACACATTATACGTGCAACGCAGCCTTTGACATCCTGTGTCTTTGAATGTAATAATAAACCGTTTCGGATATATATAATACAATATTATATTTCTTTATACATATATTGTTGTAAGAAATTAATTGTTATTAAATTATTACCAAATAACCTAATAATTATAATACCTAAATAGTTTAAATATAAAATAGGCCCATCTCTGGAATATACGTACCTCAATATGTATAATGTAACTAATTTGTAAATTTAGCATTTATGAATTTCTGTTATATATACACACACACACACACACACACACATTTATAACTAAGAGGTTCAGTCTGCTTAACACGACATAATGTCTACTGTTGTTGAAATTATGCTAATGCCAATTATGTACAATTGCAATATTCAGTTTATCTAGATCATATTACTTGGAAAGCGTAGGCTATCATTTATGAAATACGCATTGCGAATGGATGTCTCGTTTTTGTGTCCCATTTATCACTAATATTATCAAATACTTCTACAATATAAGAAAAAGAAAAGTAATTTAACAATTTTTAAATAATGAATTGTAACGTTTTTGTATAATCTTATATTTCATTTTGTTTCTATAACGCAGCATAAAAATATTACTCTATATTAATAATATTATTAATATTATGCAGATAAATTAACCATTGAGGAAGTACGCTGTGTACTCCTTTTCCGATCTCTTTGGACCGTCGTTTGTTGAATTTTCAACATCAACTAGGGAGTCACGGTTTCAAGTTAAAAAAAAGAATGGTTTGGAGCACAGACGATGCAACACGTTTGTTTAGTCTTTAGCCTCGGCATGCAGCTGCAAAGTTTAAGTTACTTGCTTGAAAATCTCTCCTCAACTTGAGTTAGTTATTTATGAATGCTTAGTTAATTCTCATGTAGAATGAAAATTCGATTTATTATTAGTTTATTCATATATTACTTGAATTGTTCGGATTACATGCATTATTTATTTCGTAATTCCGTTTCTATTAGAAATAAGTTAAATAGAATTTAAATAACGTAAAGAAACATATTTAAATATATCCTATTGGGAAAAAGGTAATTCGTATAAGTAATATTCCGTTTGTATGTAATAAATAAATAAAATAAGGAAAAAATGTTTTATAGTTATATAAAACATTTTTTCCTCATTTCGTTTATTTATTACATACAAACGGAATTATTTATACGAATTACTTTAGAAGAATCATAAACGCAATAAGTATTGATCTCGTACTTGTGTGTGTGTGAAATGAAATTATACCATTAACTCGTTTATTTGACAACTATCTAATCTTTTATTGTCTATCAGAATGAGGATTAATTCTTGATAGAGAATATATTTATCATTGCTATGTGCAAAATTGTAATTGTTATAAAAATGTTCGCAATCCATTTATTCGGATTTATTCTCTTGGATACATTTGTCGATCCAAGTCCGATAGGAATAGATTCGCGTGAATACATCTGGAAGTCCCTTAGCGCAAGGTGTTCCCCAGGACACTACGCCTATCAGCTCGTTATCGGCTACCAGAGGACCGCCAGAATCACCCTATACACATATGAAGAATATAACAAATTTTTTCTTGTAAATGTTATTCTATTTTTAACAAATATTAATTATAATTGCAATTTATACTGCATACACATATCATCGATCTATATAGTGTATAAATTAAAAACATGTGACTAAATTGATATATATTCGATGTATATTTTATATTTAAAACATATTATCTTTAAAAAATATATAATGATTCATATATAATGATACATTTCTATGTCAAAATATATACTGTTTCTGTAATTAAAATAATATGAAATTTTTCAATTAAGATATTCTTTAATTACATTTTTCAATTAAGCATTTAATATCGTACTAAATGCTATCAATATTTGTAAAATGTACGATAGCATGCGTCTCCTCGTGACAAAAGGGCTCTCTTCCTAGATACTCAATTATTATAGATTAGAATTTACTTACGTGACAGGCGCCTTCGCCCTGTTTGTTGAGTGTGCAGATATTATTGTTGGTTATGCGAAAGCTGCTAGTTACGCACTGCTTTTGATTGATGACCCTGAGCTGGATATGCTGTAAATTGTTCGGCGTTTCTCCCGGATACTGTAACAACCCACACATAAATAATTATTTAAATTAATCCGAAAATAATCGTTTAAATAACTCGAATTACTAAATAATCATTTTAATCCACTTTATTATTTAATTAACAAGGAACTATACTGAATGTCTCAAATGTATGGAAAACGAACAATTGGTCTTATGTATATATTACTTATACGTATATTAATATATGTATATGCATATATTGTACATATTATAATTTATAGATATGCAAGAATGAAATTTTTGTGTCTCTCAACATAACAATAGATAAATATTTTATATTTACATTAGTAGTGCCCCAGCCCGACAATATGGCCGGATAATCGGATTTGTCAAAGTTTTTGGTGGGCAGAGCAATCGGTTTCACTTTGTCTCCAAAAACGATATCTTTGTTCACTTTAATTAATCCGATGTCATGCCTGATGAGAATGGAATTATAGTAAGGATGTATCCGTTTTTTGATCGAGAAGTACTGATCACCGCCTTTGTCTAAAGTGTTTGTGCCCAATACAACCGTGATAATCTCGTCATTAAGACTGTAAATAAAGATTATAAAATTATATATAATAATTAGCTGTATATAATAATTCTCTCAAATAACTATCTTTTGCCATAATATTAAGCATAATATAATTTAAAAATTTTGAAGCTTATTTATTTTATAGAAAATATGACAATATTACTCAAAATTAATTACATATTATTATTAATTACATATTAATTGTTTTTAATATAAAATAAATTTAATCACGTTATTAATTATACATGTGTTAGGAAAGTGTGAAATGTCTTGTTTATAATTGTTAATACGAATATATTATATGTAAAATAATCTATTCTAAGAATAGTTGTCGCATATACCCGGACAAGCAATGAGAAGCTGTGACGATCCATCTTTTATTTATCACGCAACCTCCACAGAAGTGATGATTTTTATAACGAAGAGATGCTTGATAAGGAAATTGACCTTCATCGGCAGGTTTACCGCCCACGATTTTTGGGATTTGTTGAACTGACTCGTCGGCTACGTAATTATAAAAAAACTTTTCATATAAAAAGACTTCGTAATATCTTACTATTTACTTAAAATAGAATAATTCAATATTAATTTACATCAAATTTTCCGAATGATTTTCATCTTTTTATTATTATTGTTTAATTTAATAAATTAAAGAGATTCTAATATATAAATTGCATCACACACAAATGCAATAAATTAATAATTATTGCGATAAATTATTAAATTATTAATAATAAATGGCAATAAATAACAAAAAATAACAATAAAATAAACTTTTAGTTTTATTTAATACGTTTAAGATTTAAGTATACGTTTAATTTATATATAATTTAATAAAACTAAGGATGCATCCGGCTAGTATTTAGTTTTCGACAATATATTATACATTTGGCAATATATTACATATATTTCTAAAAAAATATATCAGTGATAATAAATGCTTTTAGGATATTCACATCACGATACACATCATTTTAATATAAAATTTCGACCGCATGTGTATTGCCAGAAACTGCGCAGATGCTAGCCAGATATCCAGTGCATCTCTAAATAAAATCATTTTCAGCGAAAATGGATTTTATGACAGTTGAATTTTACAATTTATTACAAAAATTTACAAATTAAAAAGAAGAGATCCTCCATATATTTTATTAGTTAATATTTTTGGAATGTGCGCGCGTGCGTGTTAACATGTAAAAAAATTTCAATATATAGAAATATATAGGAATCTTATAATATATTCTTACCTGACAATTCATGTATTGCAATAATACTTAAGATGCAGAGTATCGATAACATTTTTAGTAGACAATAAAGTCAATTAGTATAGAGCTTTACTTTGTTTTCTACGCAGTGTTTGATGATTTAATGCCAATTAATTTTTACACTCGTTTACCACCAGTTCTTATATACGCAGTAAACGATGATAATTAAGGAAATGTTGGACATTTAAATTTAGGTCAGACACCGGCCGTAAAAAGAAAATGCATTGTCCGGATGTATCTCATGCGCGATGTGATAGGTAAGGTGATATGCTGCCGTGCAGCTACGAAAATTTATGACCGGATATAGTTGTTATCGTTGCTGTATAAAAATGCGTACTGCTGAAATATATAAATTGCAATTTAAGCTCGATTTGAATTATTAAGCGATGGAGATAGTAATAATCAATAATCAATGACGATGGTAATAATCAATAATTAATGATAATATATGTAATATAAAATCTAAATATTGAATTATTAAAATTTTTATTTAAATAATTTACTTACAGATACATTTTATTTTTATGAGTTTAATAATAAAATAAGTAAAAGCATCATTTGCATATACCTATTCTCTTCGCACATACCTACTTATATTTTATTATTGTGATTCTATGGATTCGGAATTATTTGTAAAAAAAACACTATGAAATTATTTTATTTAAAACATATTTTTCCTTTAAGTGTTGTTTTATCATTTTCATTCAGATATTTTTGAAGAACACAACTTAAGACAAAATATAATTACATAATTACATAATTAATGGCACAATTATGCGGCGTAATTTATGATACAAAAAAAAACTAATTATTACAGAATTTAGAAAAACGTAATTTGATAAGAATATCTATAAATAATAAATTTATTAAAGAAACTTTTGTGATACATATAAACGTGTTTAGATTCTCAGTGAGAAATAACTTGAATCGATGTCGAATTGATATCGATAATCTTGACGGCAATTCGATATCGATTCGACGTCTAATTGGTTATTGATTATTTCTCACCGGGTCATGCGTATTTACTTCCACTTATTATAAAATATAAAATTAATATTAATTAATATAAAAAATAGACATTATATGAATTAATTTATACGAAATGCATTATATGAAATACATTGGCGATACTTTTAAAGATTACGTCTTGCATGTTTGTACGAAGAAACTTGAGCAATGATTTTATTCTATATTGCGAATTTGTGGCAAGCAAAACGTGTTATATTCTGCGATAATTTTATATTTCGCACAATCACGTCATCAGTTATTTAATTTCACGGCGAGCGATATGCGCCAGAGATATTTATAAAATTCACTTCAACCTCACACTTATCTCCTAATACATTTGCCAAGTCTGGTGATTCGATAACGCGTGTGTTTCTTTAATATGTAATTATCATTTTGACACACTTCCTTAAAAATTCAACGAATTACTATAAGCCAGAAAAAAACAAGAAAAAAAATAATAAAAGAATAAAATAAAGAATTAATTTTTTTAAAAATAATATCGAAAAATCTTATTTTATTCGTACGAATATCGTTCGAACGATTTTATATTTTAAATAAACTTTCGTTTGTTTGCGATTTAAATAAATATGAATGTGAATACATGTACGTCATATACAACCATTTATCTTACTATATCCATTATATTTATTGCTAATCTTTGGACGAAAGATTGAAAGTTACAATTCTTTAAATATTTTTACTTTTCGTAAAAATATGTAAATGTCTATAAATATTTAACGTATAATTATACAAGGAAACACAATTCGGAGATAGGTCGTAGAATTAATAGACACAATAATGTTGCATTTTAAGTTTTTTTTTATTAAAATAAATCGAAAATAATGCGAATTGCGACGTTGCGTTATCAAAGAGTCAAAGCCTACATATCGCGCTGAAACTGAAACACTCGCACCAATATTCGACATATTGTTATTCCAAGCGCGAAGTTTTGCGTTTGATCTCGACTTCGACGTTGACCCGTGCCCGGTGTTTCGCAACGCTCGTAATCCCGCCTAAACGAAGTCCGTATAAAATATGCAAATATAGATACTCACAACCAGAAATTAGAAATAAAGACGACACCGTTTCGCTTATGTTATAATAATAAAAATAAATAAAAATAAAAAAGCTCATAGCAGAGCCTTATTTATCATGTGCTATATTAGCTGCGCGTTCGGTTTGGCCATTCACGTGTTTTAAGCTTCACCCCATCTTCTTTTCGCAAGCAGTACGATAAAGATATAAGAATGAAAATTACAGCGTGTCAGTGCCCAAATCAAATGCAGTCATTGTTTCTTTGTTCTCCTTTTTTTCTCTTTTCTCTTAAACAATGTAAGCAATCTTAGTGAATATTTTGCAAATACAAAAGCTACATTATTTCGATTTATTATCTATAGACTCCCTTGTCCATAGGTAACAAATGTTTTTTAAGTATCTATAAAAAGTAAAATTGTAACTTCCGCGTAGATGTCCAGTATCACGCAATCCGCAATAGATAGTGTTTCGTGATATATATATATATATACAATATATATGTCCTACAACTCAAAATACTATAGCAAGAGTTTTTGAAAAATTAAATAAAAAATTTACGAGTACTTTTATAGCCAATTATAGATTAGATGGCCATTTATTCACGAGTTGCACGTGTGATAGTATTAGTGAGCACTGATGAGCGCGCATTTCAACACGCTCACTAAAGGACTTTGCAAAATCAAAGGAATAGACAACAAAGAATAAAGAATAAGAATGTCAACCTATCAGAAACTGTGTATTCCACAATACATAGTTTCTGATAGGTTGAAATTCTTATTCTCTATTTTCTCTTTCTTTGAGATTTTGCGCAATACTTACAGATCTCTAATACTCCATCTAAATGTAATCTGTAACTGGCCATATTTAAACTCTTGTATCTCAGAAACTATTGCTTAAAATAAAAGTTTACAAATAACTTTTTTACTGAATTTTTTGAAAACTTCCTTACTGTAGTATTTTGAATCGCAAATTTTGATGACATCCTGTATATATATATATATACACACATACATTTACGCCGTGCGCGCGCGCGTATTATATATTATACACACAATAATCACCGTATACCACACATATATTGAGAAGTGGCATTCAAATTTTATGATTGTCTAGTATATCTGTCTTTCGAATAATTACATATGTATTTATGTACTATATTTCTCAATGAGAGAGAAGCTCCACGCCAGTGGCTAATGTCCCTGGCGGGAATAACCGAGTATTTCTTTCACGCGATATTTACCACTCGATGTTCAACATATATATTACACAAGCAGAGATCGAAAGCAATATTTCATAAATTGTGAATTCGGAGATCTGTTCTTTTTCGAAAAATTCTGAACTAGTGCAATAAGTTAGAGTGAAACAAACTATACCTGTTTCACTCTAACTTATTGCACCAGTGTCCACCACTTCAGAACTTGGGGTGGAAAAAGAACAGACCATAGATTTTTCGATGCTACGAATACACGAAGATCTCTATCTTTTATTTATGACGATAAAAATGCGATAACCAACATAAGATCTCCTTTTGCATGTCTGTAGCAAGGAAAATTAAATTCACGAAATTATATCATTTTCGATCCTTGATTTAACAGTACTAAAAATAGAATTTTCTTCTCAGAACATTAAATTATATTAATTACTTATCCATCCAGGATTACAACATCGAATGTCAGCACCTTATTTTACTTACGTACAGCGTGATAAACGTATACTTATTTAATACGCTTTTTTTGTAACTGAACTTATCATATACTAAGGTAAATATAATCTTTTCATTAATTTTGTTCAATTAAAAACAGATTGGTCTTAACATATATATTTTATCCTTATAAAAATATACGTTACAGTAAATGAATACAGTTCATGTTGCATTATAGTAAAAACGACAGCATCAATAACAAATATACTGTAACTGCAAAACTAAAACTTCAAGACAATTGTCTTCCTGAAAATTTTTCGTTTATTAATTGTAATCGAACTAAATTATATTATGATTAACTAAATATATTTTTTTAATGTTATGGATAAACTAATATTGAAAAATAATTGTAAAATAATCGTTAGTGTACTTTTCATTGTTGCTGTCAAAATAATTAAAAATAATATAAATTGTATAATGGATCAATACAAAACTATGATCTCTTTCTTTTGTCACATTATGTTATACAAAACCGGGACAATATATTAAATGCAATTGAAGACAGATACATACACACACACACACATACGCACGCACGCACGCACGTACGCATGCACAATCTTCCGTCAGGCAAAATTTGCAAATGCACTTTGAAGAATTAAAATGTATGTGATATAAAGGCACAGAAGAAAAACTTATGCAGGATGATTCTTATTCTAGGATTCTTAGGCCCGTATTCATAGTCAGTTTTTATATTCAAAATCGTCTTAAATTCAGTCTTGAGGTGTCACGAATCAATCAGAGGGTCGCATTAGCGTCTTAAGACGTTACTTAAGACAATTTTGAAATAAGAACCGACTATGAATACCGGCCTTAGTTACACATTAATTTAGACATGACATTAATTTAGAGCACAATGAAATAAAAAATATATATCATAAACAATGATTGATTACACTCTTTGACAAAAAAATGATTTTCTTTCAAACATTGGAACAAGACTAATCATTTTTTATAATATATCACTGAATACGAATGCATTTTCCAAATTGTTCTATCGCATCGGAATTCTGAGAAATTTGTCATTTAATTTGCAAGAAAGAACTATGTTGTGTAAAGGGTATTTTGTCACATTATAACTAGAATGTATAATATACTGAAGAAGTTTTATTGCAATAAAAATTAAATTTGTTGTTGTTAAGATTTTCAGCCCTCAAAAGGATTTTTTAGTATTGGCTATGGTTAATATTCACAGTTGTTAAATATAGGATCTATTATGGAAAAATTGTAAATTAAGTCACTAATAATTTCACAAACAGCTTTCAACTATATTTATTTAAACATATAACTGTTTTTTTCATTAAATACGAATTCTGTATTAAAATTAACAAATCAAAATAATAGATTCAATATAGCAGAATATCAAAATTTTAAAATGTTCGGATTGTTGCAAAATGTATAAATATCTTTCATGATTTTGAATTTGTCAATTTTGACATCGGATTCGTCTACAGTGGTCTAAAAATCATTACATTTAACTAAACATAATTGAAAACTAGTAAATTGTCAATGACTGATTTACTTTTCCACAATCGATCCCATATTTAACCGTGAATATCTTATTACC